CCTGCTGTCCCTCAAGTCTCCCTGCTGGCAGCAGCACTGCAGGTTCTCATTACCAGCCCTTCACTAATAAAACCATTTTTGCCAACAGAGATGATGGCAACGGTGGGAAAGTAATTAACCTCATGTAAAAAGGTCACTGGCTACCTTTGTCCTAAGCTGAAGCTTTGTTTTTCTCAGCAGTAAACATTTTAAAATTACTTTTTGCATTTGATTCATTTCCAGTGCTCTAGAATGGTTGTTTTTGATAGTCTTTTATTTTCTTATTTGAGAGACTGAAAGAACTCCATCACCTAGTTCATTTCCCAAATGCTCTCAAATGGCCAGGGCTCAGTACTCCACACATACAGCCAGGACCAAAGCTGTAAACTGGAAACTCAACCCAGGTCTCCTAATAGGTGGCAGGAACCCAACTACTTTGAGTCATCATTTGCTGCCTCCTAGAATCTGCACAGGCAGGAAGCTGGACTTAAGATCCAGAGTTGGTAATCAGCCTATGTACTTTGATATGGGATACAGATGTCTCAATCTGCATCGACACCCATCCCTTTTTTGACAATCTTGTCCAGGTTGTGCTTTGTGGAGAAGAATCACCAACCTCCTCTTGCTACCATAACAAGAAGCCTTTTCCTTTTTTTTTTTTTTTTTTTTTTTTTTTGGTTTCCACTTTTTTTTATATATTTAGAAAGCTTTTATTTAATATAAATTTCATAAGTACAACTTTTGCATTATAGCGGTTTCCTATGTTTTGTTTGTTTATTTGAAAGGCAGAGCTACGGACAGAGAAGGAACAATATAGAAAGGGATCTTTTATCCCCCGATATCCTCATATCCTCATGTGTCCACAATAACCATGTCTGAGGAAGGCTGAAGCCAGGAGCCAGGAACTCGATCCTGGTCTCTCACATTGGTAGCAAAGGCCCAAGAAATTGGGCCATTTTCTTCCTTCCCAAGCACATTAGCAGGAAGCTGGATCAAAAGCATAGTAGCTGGGATTTGAACTGGCACTCTGATATGGGATATCTATACCCTTTTTCTATTTGTAATTCTTATTTGACAGAGACAGATAGGAATCTTCTATCTCCTTCCATCCCAAAATGCCCACAATATCCAAGGATGGACTAGGCTGAAGCCAGAAACTGGTAACTCATTCTGGATCTCCCTTATGGGTAGCAGAGACCTAAGTACTTGAGCCTAAGTACTTGCTGCTTGCCAGAATGTATATTAGCAGGAAGCTAGGATCAGTAGTGGAGCCAAGGGGGCCAGTGCTGTGGCATAGGGGATAAAGCCGCCACCTGCAGTGCTGGCATCCCGTATGGGCAGCGGTTTGGGTCCCGGCTGCTCCACTTCTGATCCAGCTCTCCGCTATGGCCTGGGAAAGCAGTAGATGATGGCCTGAGTCCTTGGGACCCTGCACCTGCATGAGAGGCCCAGAAAAAGCTCCTGGCTACTGGCTTCGGATCAGCAAAACTCTGGACGTTGCACCATCTGGGGAGTGAACCAGTGGACAGAAGACCTCTCTGTCTCTGCCTCTATGTAACTCTGCCTTTCAAATAAATAAATTAATCTTAAAAAAAAAAAAAAAAGTGGAGCCAAGACTGTAATCCAGGCACTCCAGTGTGGAATGCAGGTATCTCAATCAGTATCTTAACTACTGTATCAAATGTCTACGCTTCCATTTCTATTTTTAATTTTTGTTTTTTTTTTGAGATTTATTACATGTATCTTCTATATCTTTGTTTACTCTTCCTTTAATCTGTCAGAAACTGAGAGTGATCTTTTCACTTCCTACAATTGTTTTTATCAGTTGATCCTTTTTAATTAGTTTTGCATGGAATATGTCTGTGTTCTAATAAACCATGTTTTTAAAGAAGATTGATTTATTTGAAAGGCAGAGTGACAGAGACGGAGAGATAATCAGTTCACTTCCCAAATGCCTACAGTGGCCAGATCTGGGCCAAGCTGAAGCCAGGAGCTGGGAACTCCATCCAGGTCTTCTACTTGGGTGGCAGGGACTCAAGTATTTGCACAATCATCTGCTACCTCCCAGGCACATCAGCAAGAAGCTGAATCAGAAGTGGAGTAGATAGACTCAAACCAAGCTCTCTGATAAGGGATGTAGATGTCCCAAGTAGTGTAACACACTGCACAACAGTGCCTACCCCAGAGATATTGTGGGTTATGCTTTTTGTTCAACAGAAAATTTATCACTTTGCCCAGTTTAAAGCCTTAAATGGTACTATTATATTTTTCACTCAAGTTAATATATCCGTTTCAATTTTCCTAATACTATTTCAGGCTGGATTTTAAAATGAGGTAACATGAGTTCATCTGTGTCAGCAGTCCCCAAGACCAGCCCCAAGTGTGGTGACTCACTAGGACTCACAGTACTTGGCACACACAGTCATGCATCACTTAACTACAGGGATGTGCTATACGAAATGTGCCATTAAACAATTTCTTTATTGTGTGAACATCCTGGAATATACTTAGAGAAAATAATACACCTATGAAATCATTGGACAATATAATCTTACTGGATGACCATTGTATATACTATCTCTCATTGATCAAAACTTTGTTATGTGATGCATGACTGTACTTGTACTCACAATCAAGATTTATTACAGTGAATGATACAAAACTGTGTACAAAGATGCATGGAGAAAAGTCCAGAAAAAATCAGGTGCAAGCTTCCAAGAGTCCTGTTCCAGTAGAATCACATGGTATTTGTATAATTATGCCAAAAACAGCTTGTCACAACGTTTGAAAAGTGTCATCTTCTAGGGAAGCTCATTAGAGACACAGTGCTAGTTTTTTATGGTGGACTGGTCACAGAGGCAAACTCTGCCGAGCACATACTCCTGAAAGGAACACAGATGTCCAGCATTCTTCGCACAATCTAGATTCAGTAAGCCACCTTTATTAGTTGGGGAACTGTTTAACATTCCCAAAATCTAAGTCCCTGGATGCCAGCCAGAAGCCAGTCTTGCAGGTAGGCAGTTGTGAGAATAGCAGTCTGGGCCTGCTGTGTCTTTTTTATTTATTTTTTTATTTTTTTACGTAAACTAGAGGTAGTGTTTTATTCATGAGTATAGTAAACAGAGTTCTTTTGTTAGCTTTTTTTTTTTAAGAGCCCTAAATCTCAGTAGTTTCGTAGTTAAGTGTTTTCATTCATATGTCAGATTAGGGACATTAGTTTTGGTTGTTTCAAACAGTTCAACAGTTTCTGTTTTTCTGTTAAGTATGAAGTGTGTGCTTCTTTTGAAACACTAAGAGATAACACTTTCTTTCCATGGTTTAAACTATATGCTTGGGAGTGGGTTTTGTGGCACAGTGGGTTAAGCCACCACTTGAGACAATCAAATCTGCTATTTCAGTGTAGGTTTGAGTCCCAGGTACTCCGCTTCTGATCCAGCTTCCTGCTGATGTGCCTGTGAGAAAGCAGGTGTTGGTTTAAGTGTTTGGCATCTGCCTAAATGTCCAATGAAGTACAAGGTTCCTGACATTGGCCTGGCCCACCCTGGCTGTTGTGGGCATTTGGGTAGTGAACCAAAGGATGTAAGATCTCTTTTCTTGGGAACAGCGCTATGGCGCAGCAGGTTAATGCCCTGGCCTGAAGCACTGGCATCCCATATGGGCGCCAATTCAAGACCCGGCTGCTCCACTTCCCATCCAGCTCTCTGCTATGGCCTGGGAAAGCAGTCAAGATGACCCAAGTCCTTGGGCCCCTGCACCCGCATGGAGGACCTGGAAGAAGCTCCTGGCTCCTGGCTTCGGATTGGCCCAGCTCCAGTCGTTGCAGCCATCTGGGGAGTGAACCATTGGATGGAAGACCTCTCTCTCTCTCTCTCTCTGCCTCTCCTCTTTCTGTGTAACTCTGACTTTCAAATAAAATAAATAAATCCTTAAAAAAAATCTCTTTTCTTTGCTCTTTCAGGTAGATGAAAATAAATAAATTACTTTATGATTTATTTATTTATTTATTTGAAAGGCAGAGTTAGAGATCTTCTGTCCACTGGTTTTCTTCCCAGTGGCCTAAATAGCCAGGGCTAGGCCAATCCACAGCTTCATTCAAGTCTTCTAAATGATTTGCAGGATCCCAAATACTTAGGACATCTCTGCTTTGCCAGGCACATAGTGGGGAGCTAGATTGGATGTGGAGCAGCTGGTATTCGAACTGGCACTCATATGGAATGCCAGTGTTACAGGTGGTGGCTTAGTGCCAGCGCTAAATAAATATTTTCTTCAAAATAGGAGTGATTGGGGCTGGTGCTGTGGCGTAGTAGGTAAAGCTTCTGCCTGCAGTGCTGGCATCCCATATGGGTGCCGGTTCGGGTCCCAGCTGCTCCACTTCTGATCCAGCTCTCTGCTATGGCCTGGGAAAGCAGCACAAGATGGCCCAAGTCCTTGGGCCCCTGTACCCGCGTAGGAGACCTGGGGGAAGCTCCTGGCTCCTGGCTGGTGCAGCCATCTGGGGAGTGAACCAGCGAATGGAGAACCTCTCTCTCTGCTTCGTCTCTCTCTGTAATTCTGACTTTCAAATAAATAATTTTTTAAAAATAGGAATGATTTAAATTTTTTTTTAAATTATATTTATTTGAAAGATAGAAGGAGAGACAAGAGAGATAAAAGAGGTCTGTCTGCTAGTTCATTCTCCAAATGGTCAAAATGGCCAGGCAAGGGTCAGACCAAAGCCTGGAACTCAGAACTCCATCTGGGTTTCCCATGTAGTGGCAGTGCCCATACACTTGGGCCATCTTCTCCTGCTTTCCCAGGTGCATAAGCAGGGAGCTGGATTGGAAGCAGAGCAGCCAGGACTCAAACTGGCGCTCTGACATGGGATGCTAGGGTTGTAGTCTGCAGCTTAACCTGCTCTATCAAAATGCTGGCCCCTTAAAAATTTTTTGTTTAAATAAAAATAAGTTACATACTCAAGACAGTTTTATACTGGACAATTCTTTGATTCTCCCAAACATAATAATGCCTTTGTTTATTTTCAGCACGATTACGTGGTGTTCATGATGGCTTGTTCACTGGACAAATAGATGCTGTGGATACTCTGAATGCTACGTATAGAGTCACCTTTGATAGGGCCGGCCTTGGAACCCATACCATACCTGACTATGAAGTTCTTGTAAGTACTGTTTTGTGATACATTTGTGCTTTATGCCTATTAAATTGTTACATAGAGTTTGCTTGGAAATTGTATTTTATGATAGAATCCAGACTTCAGCTTACAAAGGGAAGAAATCCTTAGGGATTCCCAGCCTTGTACTAGACCCCTGGAACAGAACTACACTGTAATTCTTCCATTTGCCAGAAACTATCATACCTTACCCTCAACAGTACTTTAGTGTAACAGAACCAATGCTCCCTGACTAATCTTGGGAAGAAGCTGCACAATATTTTCATACCAATTGTTAGATTAAAATATAGTCCTGCAAACTGCTGTTAAAATAATGAAAGAAGGCCGGCGCCGTGGCTCACTAGGCTAATCCTCCGCCTAGCGGCGCCAGCACACCAGGTTCTAGTCCCGGTCGGGGCTCTGGATTCTGTCCCGGTTGCCCCTCTTCCAGGCCAGCTCTCTGCTGTGGCCAGGGAGTGCAGTGGAGGATGGCCCAGGTGCTTGGGCCCTGCACCCCATGGGAGACCAGGAAAAGCACCTGGCTCCTGGCTCCTGCCATCGGATCAGCGCGGTGCGCCGGCCGCAGCGCGCCGGCCGCGGCGGCCATTGGAGGGTGAACCAACGGCAAAGGAAGACCTTTCTCTCTGTCTCTCTCTCTCACTGTCCACTCTGCCTGTCAAAAAAAAAAATAATAATAATAATTAAAAAAAAAATAATGAAAGAGCAGGTTTTAGGGCACAGCATGTTGAGCCACTTCTTGGGACATCCATTTCCTATATCAGAGTGCTAGTTTGAGTCCTGGCTACTCCATTTCTAATGCAGCTTCCAGCTAATGTATCCTGAGACACAGCACATGAGAGCTCATGTGCTGGGCTCCTGCCACCCACAAGAGAGACCCAGATGAAGTTGTGTCTCTTGACTTTGGCCTGGCCCAGTCATGGCTTTTATAGACATTTGGGGAATGAACCAGCATGTGGAAAATCTCTTATCTCTTAATTTTCCATGTGTGTGTATATATTTGTCACTTTCTCAAATAAGGAAAAAATAAATAGACTTTAAAAATTATGAAACAATATCTTGTACTTTAAAGATTTATTTATTTATTTGAAAGGCAGAGCTTTGAGAGAGGAAGAGACAGAACAGCAGAGACCTTCCATCCCCGGTCTGCTTCCCAAATGGTCACAGTGGCCAAAGCTGGACCCATTCAAAGTCAGGAGCCAGGAGCTTCTTTCAGGTCTCCCACATGGGTGGCCAGGGCCCAAGGACTTGGGCCACCTTTGCTTTCCCAAGTACATTAGCAGGAAGCTGGATTGGAAGTGGAACAGTTAGGACTTGAACTGGCGCCCATATGGGATGCCGATTTTGCAGGAAGCAACTTTACCTACTATACAACGTGGGGCCCAACATCTTGTAATTTAATATTTGTCCTGTTTTATCCTCACACTTAGACAGGTTGGGTATTAGTTACCTTCATTTTTTACATGATGAAACTGAGTTATAAGTACATTAAATCATTTACTCAGAGCTTTAGAGCTGGTTTCCTATAAGGCTAACTACAATTCAGATCTTTTAAATTTTGAGTATACTCCATTAAACTGCTAGACCATCATTTCATGTTCATTCTTCATTTAGCTATGTCAAGGAGATTACTTTCTAATAAAATAATTATTAAAATTAATATAAGTGTGTGATCTAATAAAGCTTTAAAAATGAATAATGTAGGGCTGGTTTTTTTTATCACAGTGGGTTAAGCCCCTGCCTGTGATACTGTCATCTCATATTGTCACCAGTTCAAATCCTGGTTGCTCCACTTAGAATCTGGCTCTCTGCTGATGTGCCTGGAAAGGCAGCAGAAGATGGCCCAAGTGTTTGGGATTGTACCACCCATGTTGGAGACCCAGATGGAATTCCACTCTCCTTGCTTCAGCCTTGCCTTGCCCTAGTTGTTGTGGCCATTGAGGAGTGAAACAGCGAATGGAAGATCTTACCTTTTCTCTGTCTCCCTCTTTCTCTGTAACTCTTAAATAAATAAATTAATCTTTTTTAAAAAATGAATGCTGGGGCCGGCGCCGTGGCTCAGTAGGCTAATCATCTGCCTGCGGCGTCGGCACACCGGGTTGTAGTCCCGGTCGGGGCGCCGGATTCTGTCCCGGTTGCCCCTCTTCCAGGCCAGCTCTCTGCTGTGGCCAGGGAGTGCAGTGGAGGATGGCCCAGGTGCTTGGGCCCTGCACCCCATGGGAGACCAGGAGAAGCACCTGGCTCCTGCCATCGGATCAGTGCGGTGCGCCGGCCACAGCGCGCTGGCTGCAGCGGCCATTGGAGGGTGAACCAACGGCAAAGGAAGACCTCTCTCTCTCTCTCAATCTCACTGTCCACTCTGCCTGTCAAAAAAAAAAGAATGACGGGGCTGGCATTGTGGCGTAGCAGGTAAAGCCACCTGCTATGCTAGCATCCCATATGGACACTAGTTCAAATGCCAGCTGCTTCTGCTTTTTGATCTTCTTCTTCTTTTTTTTTTTTTTTTTTAAAGATTTATTTATTTATTTATTTGAAAGAGTTACACAGAGAAGGAGAGGCAGAGAGAGAGAGAGGTCTTCCATCCTCTGGTTCACTCCCCAGTTGGCCGCAATGGCCGGAGCTATGCCGATCTGAAGCCAGGAGTCAGGAGCGTCTTCTGGGTCTCCTGCATGGGTACAGGGGCCCAAGAACTTGGGCCATCTTCTACTGCTTTCCCAGGTCATAGCAGAGAGCCTGATCAGAAGAGGAGCAGCTGGGTCTCAAAACGGTGCGATATGGGATGCAGGTACTGTAGGCGGCAGCTTTACCTGCTGTGCCACAGTGCCACCCCCTCACTTTTTAAAAAAATTTAAAGAATTTATTTACTTGAAAGTCAGAGTTATACAGAGAAGGACAGGCAGAGAGAGAGAGAGAGAGAGAAAGAGATCTTCTATCCGCTGGTTCATTCCTCAATTGGCTGCAAGGCCCAGAGCTGCGCCAGTCAGAAGCCAGAAGCCAGGAGCTTCCTCTGCATCGTTCCACACAGGTTCATGGGCCCAAACGTGGGCCATCTTCTGCTGCTTTCCCTGGCAATAGAAGAGAGCTGGATCAGAAGTGGAGCAGGGGGTGGGAGGGCGGAAATGGGGGGAAGAAACACTATATCCCTAAAAGCTGTAATAGGAAAATTTGTATTAATTAAATAAAACCTTCAAAAAAAAAAAAAAAAAGTGGAGCAGGAGCCAACACTATGGCATAGCTGGTAAAGCCCCAGCCTGCAGCGCAAGCATCCCATATGGGCACCAGTTCAAGTCCTGGCTGCTCCATTTCCAATCCAGCTTTCTGCCATGACCTAGGAAAGCAATAGAAGATAACCCAAGTCCTTGGGCCCCTCTACCCCTGTGGGAGACCCGGAAGAAGCTCCGGGATCCTGGCTTTGGATCAGCTCAGCTCTGGTTGTTGCTGTGATTTGGGGAGTGAACCAGCGGTTGGAAGACCTGTCTTTCTCTGGTTCTACCTCTCTCTATAACTCTGTCTTTCAAATAAAGAATGAATGAATGAATGAATGAATAAATGGAGCAGCTGGGACTTGAACCAGCACCCATATGGGATGCCACCACTGTAGGCAGCAGCTTTACCATCTATGCCACAGTGAAGGCCTCTCTTTCTTTTTTTTTTTTTTTTTTTTTAAGATTTATTTATTTGAAAGGTGGAGTTACAGAGGCAGAGGCGGAGGGTTGGGGGGCGGAGTTGGGGGCCGGTACCGAGGTACAGTAGGTTAATCCTCTGCTGCGTCACAGGCATCCCAAGTGGACGCCAATTCCAGTCTTGGCTGCTCCTCTTCCAATCCAGCTCTCTGCTTTGGCCTGGGAAAGCAGTGGAAGATGGCCCAAGTCTTTGGGCCCCTACACCTGCATGGGAGACCCGGAAGAAACACCTGGCTCCTGGCTTTGGATCCGTGCAGCTCCGGCCCTTGAGGGCATTTGGGGAGTGAACCAACAGATGGAAGACCTTTCTCTCTGTCTCTCTCTCTCACTGTCTGTAACTCTACCTCTCAAATAAATAAATAAAATCTTTAAAGAAAAAAAAAGAGAGAATGAGAGAGAGAAAGAAGTCTTGGCCGGCGCCGCGGCATAATAGGCTAATCCTCCACCTAGCGGCGCCGGCACACCGGGTTCTAGTCCCGGTTGGGGCGCCGGATTCTCTCCTGGTTGCCCCCTTTCCAGGCCAGCTCTCTGCTGTGGCCTGGGAGTGCAGTGGAGGATGGCCCGGCCCAAGTGCTTGGGCCCTGCACCCCATGGGAGACCAGGAGAAGCACCTGGCTCCTGCCTTCAGATCAGCACGGTGTGCCGGCCACAGCGCGCTGGCCGCGGCAGCCATTGGAGGGTGAACCAATGGCAAAAGGAAGACCTTTCTCTCTCTCTCCCTCTCTCTCTCTCTCTCTCTCTCTCTCTCACTCTCACTGTCCACTCTGCCTGTAAAAAAAAAAAAAAAAAAAAAAAAAAGTCTTCCATCCACTGGTTCACTACCCAGATGGCTGCAACGGACGGAGCTGCGCTGATCCAAAGCCAGGAACCAGGTGCTTCTCCCATGTCCCCCATCAGAGTGCAGGGGCCCAAGCACTTGGGCCGTCTTCTGCTTTCCCAGTCCATAAGCAGATAGCTGGGTCAGAAGTGGAGCAGCCAGGACTCGAACCAGTACCCATATGGGATGCCAGCACTGCAGACTGCAGCTTTACCCTCTAAGCCACTGTGCTGGCCCCTGCTTCATTTTCAATCCAGCTCCCTCTAATGTGGCTAGGAAAGCCGCAGATTGCCCAAGTGCTTGGGCCCATGCACCCACATGCAAGACCCAGAATAAGCTCCTTACTCCTGGGTTCCATCTAGCCTAGCCCTGGTCATTGGAACAGTTTGGGGTGTGAACCAACAGATAGATCACTTGATCAACTGATCTCTCTGTCTCTCACCCTCTTTTTCTCCCTCTGTCTCTATTACTCTGGTTCTGGATCTTGATGGGAATGCTTCCAACTTTTCCCCATTCAGCATGATGCTGGCTGTGTGCTTGTCGTTAATTGCTTTGATTTTGTTGAGGAATGTTCCTTCTATACTCAGTTTGCTCAAGGTTTTCATCATGAAAGGATGTTGTATTTTATCAAATGCTCTCTTGTGCAGTCACAGAGTTCCCACAGTCTCGACACACGAGACTCCCACAGTCCACAGTCATGCAGTACAGAGGATCTGCCCCACCCCTCTAACCTGTTCACAGAGTGAGCTGCCTGTGGGTGCTCCACCTAGGCAGTTTGAAACCTGAAGCCTGTGATAGATTGAGAGGTGGGGGTTACCTCACAGTCTCATGTGAGTACCCAGCCCCTTGTCAATCCTCCCAGCCAGACTCAAAGTCAGTGGAGAGCACAAATTTTTCCATCTGGTAAAATCTGTGGATCACATGCATGCATGAAAGCCACTGGCCGCAGCCCCTCCTTATTTCACTGTGGTGCCTTCTCCCTGCCAGTTGCAGGGTGCACACAGCTGAGTTGCTACCTCCACTGCTTGTATTCCATAAGGTGGCATCTTGTCCTGGCCAGTTGCTGGACGCATACACAAGAGCCGCCACAGCTGCTACTTATGTCCAAATGGCACCCACCCTCTCTAAGCTGGTGGCTGGGTGCTGTTTTCAGGGAGGATGGGGAGAGAGAAATGTGCCCCTTTTCTTTGCTGGGTTAGCAGGTACCCTGTCCCCCTTAGGTAAAACCCAGGCTGGATTCACACCAGGCTCTCCCTGAACCATATCACCAGTGGCACCAGCCTGCAGTCTGATCCTACCTCATTCTCCAAAGCTGGCACTGGCTCTGGCTCTCAGCTGCTAGGATTGTGTATTGTGTATCTGCTTGTCACTGTGCATCCACACCTTCCGCAGCATCCCTCTTCCTTTTGTAGAATTTCCACTGTGGTTTTCTCTCTAAGTCTCCTCTGAGAATGTACTTTCTTCAGGTTTTTTGACTATTTTCCCCTAGCCTAGAGCAGTATACCCTTTCTGTATTCTACCACCTTGGAATCTCCCAAACATGCCTTTTAGAGAAGAGCAATAGGAGAGAAAGAAAATTTGGACTAAGTATAGAACAAAATGACCACTCTTAAATTTTTACATTAAAGAATGAAATCTTCAAATCTCCTCTGTCAAAAAAAGGTAAATTACTTTCTATTTCAGTGGTATACTTTCTGTTTTGAGATCACCCAAATGTTTCTTGGGGGCAAAGTGAGAGTTGACTTTAACTGCAGTAGGATATGTTCTGATAGTCTAAATGCAGAATGCCAGAGGTAGTCATAGAAGGCTTTTATTTTAATCTTTGATTCTCTGAACTCTTTCAATCCTTTAGTCTTTTTCTTCTCTTAATTCTTCTCTTGTGTGTGTTCTGTCTTTTAGCAGCAAAGTATTGTTTTCATATTCTGATTTAACTTGTAGCCCTTGATCTTTATAGAATTATATCTTGTCATAGAAATACTAAACCACAGAATAAGCTTTAATACTATAATATAGTATAGTATATGTCTGAGTATGTGTCTCAGGCTGAAATACATTGTTTATAAAGCTTGAATAGCTGGTAAATTTCTTTAAGTTATGTGGATTATTCTCTTTTTTCAAAGAGTAATGAACCTCATGAGACAATGCCAATTGCTGCCTTTGGACAAAAACAGCGGCCTTCTCGATTTCTTATGACCCCACCACGGTTACATTATACTCCTCCCCTCCAGTCACCAGTTACGGTAAGTAATATTTTAGAGATTCATCAGTAATTTTATTTTTATGAATATGAACTATGTTCCAGTAAAGTACACATCTATTACAACTTGAGGTATCCATATATTTTAAGTTGTCAAATATTTTTGTTCTTACTGGATTTTAATAATTGCAATAGGATTTTCAATTTTCCTAAAAATAAGTTACTTTATTTGAGCAATCACTGATTAAATGATTACCTTTTATTTCCATAGGATAATGATCCTTTATTAGGACAGTCACCCTGGAGAAGTAAAATATCTGGTTCTGACACTGAAACACTGGGTGGTTTTCCAGTAGAATTCCTTATCCAAGTGGTAAGAATTGCTCTGAATATCTTGCTATTTGTTTAAAAACTAGGTTTTCCTTTGTTGTGTTAAAGTTGAAAATTTTTCTGTGACCAGACTTTTTTTTAAGGCAGAGTTATAGAGTGGAAGAGAGAGTGAGAGAGAGATCTTCCATCCACTGATTCACTCCCCAGATGGCCACAATGGTCAAGGCTGGGCTAGGCCAGTCTGAAGGCAGGAGCAAAGAGCTTCTTCCACGTCCCCCTCTTGGGTGGTAGGGACCCAAGGGCTTGGGCCATCGTCTACTGCTTTCCCAGGCCTTGAGCAGGAAGGTGGAGTGGAAGCAGAGCAGCCAGGACACAGACCAGCACCCACATTGAATGCCAGTGTTGCAGACAGTGGCCTTGCCACTATACCACAACCCCAGGCCCTGTGACCAAATATTTTTGTGTGACATTGTTTTATTGTGTGGGTTTTAGGATCTATGCTATTTCCAAAAACTGTTAAAAATAAAAAAGCCAAAAAGGACATCAGTCTTTTTGGTGGGGTTTTCTTGGATTTGGATTCTTCTTTTTATGATATTTTAAGGACTTAAATATTGTAGCCTATGTTCTATGAAATTCTGAATGGTTGGTTGTTGGTCATTATGAGCAAGGCTACTATGAATATACATATACAAGTTTTTATGTAGATAAATGCTTTCATTTTCATGAGTATATATCTCAGAGTAGAATTGCTGGGCCATATGGTAACTCTGTGTTTAGCCTTTTGAGGATCTGCTGGCTATTTTACAAAAAGACAAAGCAATTTTCCCCTTCTCTGTTCCATAGAGCAGCTAAGGTTTTAAGAGTATATATTATTAACCTTTAAATGAACTACTAACTTGACTTAAATATATATTAAATGGGGCTGGCACAGTGGGTTAGACCGCAGTGGTTCAAGTACCGGCTGCTCTACTTCCAATTCTGATCCCTGCTAATGCACCTGAGAAAGCAGTAGAAGATGACCCAATAGTTTGGACCTCTGCCACCCACATGGGAGACCCAGAAAAAGCTCCTGGCTTTGGCCTGGTCGAGCCCTGGTCCTTGCAGCTATTTGGGGAGTAAACAAGTGGATGGATGGAAGATCTCTGTCTTTCCTTCTGCCAGTAGCTTTGCCTTTCAAATAAATAAATCTTAAAAAATAAATAAATAAATAAATGTGTTTTAAATGACTAACAAGACTCTTGAAGATAATATTGTAGTATTAGCAAATTTATCTTACATTAATAAAATTTTAAGTGTAATTCATATTAAGAAAGTAAATTCACAAGATCATTTTGATAAATATTAAAAAAACTTACAAAATTAAACTAATACTCTTATCAAACCAAGAATAGAAGGGAAATTCATTAATCTGATGAAGAATATTTGCCAAATAACATATAGAAAACATACTTATTAGTGAAATGTTAAAAAATTTCTCTTTATGACTAGAGATGAGATCTGGATGCCTGCTATCACAGTTTCTATTTAACAAATTTATGGATTTTCTTTATTCTTTTTTTTAAAGATTTTATTTCAGAGGTAGAGTTACAGACAGTGTGAGGGAGAGACAGACAGAAAGCTCTTCCATCTACTGGTTTACTCCCCAAATGGACGCAATGGCTGGAGCTGTGCCAATCCGAAGCCAGGAGCCAGGTGTTTCTTCCTGGTCTGCCATGCAGTGTAGGGGCCCAAAGACTTGGGCCATCTTTCACTGCTTTCCCAGGCCATAGCAGAGAGCTGGATTGGAAAAGGAGCAGCCAGGACTAGAACCGTGTCCATATGCGCCATAATGCCAGCCCCTTCTTTATTATCTTAATGTGATGTCTTGGGTTTAAAAAGAGCTCTTGGTATCAAACTTTTTAAGGTTTTTTTTTTTTTTTAAGATTTATTTTATTTATTTGAAAGAGTTACAGAGAGAGGTAAAGACAGAGAGAGAAGTCTTGCATCCGCTGGTTCACTCCCCAGATGGCCACAACGGCCGGAGCTGCGCCAATTCAAAGCCAGGAGCCAGGAGCTTCTTTCGAGTTTCCCATGTGGGTACAGGGGCCCAAGAACTTGGGCCATCCTCTGCTGCCTTCCCAGGCCATAGCAGAGAGCTGGATCAGAAGGGGAGCAGCCGGGACTAGAACGGGCACTCATATGGGATGCTGGTGCTTCCCGTCAGGGCTTTAACCCGCTGCGCCACAACGCCAGCCTAAAGGGTTTTGACATATGTGTAGTACTATAAGTATCGACCATTATAATTTCATAATGAGCAGTTTCAGCACCCTAAAACTCTTCCATGTTCTACCTTTTCATTCCTCTCCCTGAACCCTGGCAACCACTGAATCTTTACTCTGCTCATAGTTTTGCCTTTTCCAGAAAGTCATATAATTGGAATCATGCAATATGTGTCTTTTTCAGATTGACTTCTTTCACTTACTTACATGCATTGAAGTTCCTCCTTGTCTTTTTATGACATGACAGTTCATTTTCCTTCAGCACTGAATAATATTTCATTGTATGGATACACCGCAGTTTATCCATTCACCTACTGAAAGACATCTTGGTTGCTGCTAAGTTTTGGCAGTTATAAATAGAGCTACCATGAACATCTATGTGTGAGATTTTGTGTAGGCATAAGTTTTCATCTCCTTTTGCAAGTTGCTAAATGGATCTAGAGATCTGGTTCGATTTGTGTTACTTCTTTGGTTTGTTTATTTGTTTAATGTGACTAATGTACCTTTCTAGATTTTGTCTTCTGATAAGAGACCCATAATGTTTTATCTTTTTTTTCAATGTTAGCTGCCATTGATTATCAATCCTAGATCAATTCATTTGTTAGTTGCAAATGGAATTCTCATTGTGTCTTCCTCCTTTTTTTCTTACTAGTGAAAATAGTTTATGAGAAAAACAAAATCTCCTAATATATTATTTGGTTACCTAAATGGTATAGTTTGTATTAAGAAAGGTAGGATAGGCCAGCACCGTTGCTCACAAGGCTAATCCTCTGCCTGTGGCACCGGCACCCCGGGTTCTAGTCCTAGTCGGGGCGCCGGATTCTGTCCCAGTTGCTCCTCTTCCAGTCCAGCTCTCTGCTGTGGCCCGGGAGTGCAGTGGAGGATGGCCCAGGTCCTTGGGCTCTGCACCCGCATGGGAGACCAGGAGAAGCACCTGGCTCCTGGCTTTGGATCAGCGCAGTGTGCTGGCCGCAGCGGCCATTGGGGGGTGAACCAACGGCAAAGGAAGACCTTTCTCTCTCTTTCTCTCTGTCACTATCCACTCTGCCTTTCCAAAAAAAAGAAAAAAAAAAGGTAGGATAAATGTTTATTCTTTTCTTTGTTTCTATAAAATAATCAGTTTGGTCACTGGCATTTTCTAATGATGGCTAATTTGAAAAAAAATAAATAAATAACTGTGGGGGCCAGTGTTGCACCACAGTGGTTTGGGCTGCCACTGGAATGCTGGCATCCCATATGAGTGCTAGTTTGGATACCAGCTGTTCCACTTCCAATTCAGCTCCCTGCTGATGTGCCTCAGGAAGCAGCAGAAGATGGCCTAGTTACTTGGGATCCTGCAGCCACATGGGAGACTGGATGAACTGCTAGGCTCTTGGCTTTGGCCTGGCCCAGCCCCAGCCATTATGGCCATTTGGGGAATGAACAGCAGATATCAATCTTAGATTGATTCTCTCTCTCTCTCTCTCTCTTTCTCGTTCCCTGTTTTTCCCTCTTCTGTGAACATGCCTTTCAAATAAATAAATCTTTTAAAAAAACACTCTGAATTTACAAATTTTAACATTTGTGCTTCACTTCCTTACAATTACTATACTAATTGACCTACAAATTTTTCTATTTTGAGTCGGTGTATGCTTGTTCAGGTTGACATTTTAGTTCTTTAAACATATGCTAGTTACAGTGTATTTTAAAACAATATTTCTTGTTATCTAAAATAAAATGATTTGCTATACTTATTGAAACACTCAAATCTATAAAATATCTTAGTGAAAAATTGGAAATCTAGTGTCTGGTAAGCTTAAGTGCCTCTATTTTAAAACTTTTTTTTTTTCTTTGTAGACTAAATTATCAAAAATTCTCATGATTAAAAAGGAACATATCAAGAAATTAAGGGAAATGAACACAGAAGCAGAAAAACTGGTAAGGGTTTCTTTTTCCCTATTTGCTTGTCTGCTTTTAAAATGGTGAGGCCTTCTATATCTAATGATGAAAAAATATGGAAAAAAACCCATGAGGTAAATATTATTTTCAAATCCTCATCCTCTGTCATTTAGCTCTCGTTATACTCAACACATAGATTAACAATGCAGTGTTGACTGTATAGTTGAATAGGATTAATGGGTATGGTAGATGGCTAATCCTCCACCTAGTGGCGCCGGTACACCAGGTTCTAGTCCCGGTTGGGGTGCCGGATTCTGTCCCGGTTGCCCCTCTTCCAGGCCAGCTCTCTGCTGTGGCCAGGGAGTGCAGTAGAGGATGGCTCAAGTCCTTGGGCCCTGCACCCCATGGGAGACCAGGCAGGAGAAGCACCTGGCTCCTGCCTTCAGATTAGCGCGGTGCGCCTGCCACAGCACACCGGCCATGGCGGCCATTGGAGGGTGAACCAATGGCAAAAGGAAGACCTTTCTCTCTGTCTCTCTCTCTCACTGTCCACTCTGCCTGTCCAAAAAAAAAAAAAAAAAATGGGTATGGTAGGTACTTCGTCAGTTTTGCATGAATGTAGAATCCCTTGGATTGACTCCTCTGATTAAGGAAGTTGTACTGACAAAGGTTACAAAAGAGTATTTCAGAAAAAGTAAATCAGGAAGTATGTAAGTTGCCAACTTTAGGTTGTCTTGTTAGAGTTTATACCCTGTTTTATTAAGCTAATGAGTCAAAAAAATGAGCAGTTTTATTCATAAAAGATAATTAGCAGGGTTTGAAAAAGCTGTAGAAAATATTCACTTGTGGCAGGCACTGTGGTGCCGTGGGTTAAAAACCCCAGCCTGCAGCACCGGCATCCCATATGGGTGCCAGTTCAAGTCCTGGCTGCTCCTCTTCTGATCCAGCTCTCTGCTATGGCCTGGGAAAGTAGTAGAAGATGGCCCAAATCCTTGGACCCCTGTACCCGCATGGGAGACCCGGAAGCTTCTGGCTCTTGGCTTCAGCTCAGCTCAGCTCTGGCTGTTATGGTCATTTTGGGAGTAAACCAGCAGAATGGAAGATCTCTGACTCTCTGGCTCTGCCTCTTTCTGTAACTCTGTTTCAAATAAATGAAATAATTCTTAAAAAAAAAAAAAAAAGAAAATAGTGACTTAAAGTCTTTATATTGTAGTGAACTTCATGTACTAAGAATTTGTAATGTGGTAAGTAGGTTTTATCTTAAGTACCATCTCCAGGTGATTGAAAAAGGCTGCATGATATGAAAAGAGAGGGCTTGGTGATTAGACTTAGGGAGAAAATACTGTGACGGTTTCCAATATCTGTCATGTGTGCAGGGATGGGAAGTCTTAGCACTATCATCTCTGGGATAATAAGAGGATTGGTATGGATAAACAGTTACACACATAGATATCTAAATGGGAGTAGGTGTAGATAAATAATTGCACAAATAGATACATAAATGAAAAACAGTCCTCTTTTAGCATTATAGAAATTTTTCCATGAAAAAGACTTTGGGGCAGGCACTGTGTGGCGCAGTAGGTTAATCCTCTGCCTGCAGTGCCAGCATCCCATATGGGCATCAGTTCTAGTCCCGGCTGCTGCTCTTCCCTTCCAGCTCTCTGCTATGGCCTGGGAAAGCAGTGGAAGATGGCCCAGGCACTTGGGCCCCGAACCCACAGGGGAGAACCAGAAGAAGCTCTTGGCTCCTGACTTCGGATCAGCTCAGCTCCAGCCATTGTGGCCATTTGGGGAGTGAACCAGCAGATGGAAGACCTTTCTCTCTGTCTCTCCCTCTCGCTGTCTTCACTCTACCTAGTAGTCTATAACTCTACCTCGCAAATAAATAAATAAAATCTTAAAAAAAAAAAAAAGAAGAAAGAAAAAGACTTTAAATTATCTAATTCAACCTCTTCATTTGATGAAATTGTAAACTGAAGACCAAGATTAAGCATAATGTGAAATCAATAATGTTAGGTAGACAAGCTGTCAAAGGTTGAAGAAGATCAGCCACCACGTATTCCTATTGCATATCCTGAACAGAGAAAGGTGCATGCTGACCCTGCTCCCGTCATTCTCATGTCTCCCCTTTATTCTGTGCCTTTCAGTGCTCTCCCCCTCTTCTGTGTTTCCTTTGATCTCTTCATCGCTTCCATCCTTGTGCATAATTTAATTATTTCTCTTTAATTTCTCTAGCTAGAACTTATGTCTGAGTTTTATACCTTAAGGTATTAGGCTTGCATATACTGAGTCTAAGCAGTTTTCAAACAGACCTATTTTGATAGTGATTTGCCTTCTTGGCAGGTGAGAGCTCTGTAGAAGAGGGCTCATTGGCTTGGTTTGTCCTATATATGATTGAAAGTAACAATTCCTGTTATAAAAATTCTAAAGAGGGATAATTTAAAGAGGAATACAGATTTTTAAAATAATATTTAATGTATGGATTTCTTTTTATTTATTTTTTTTATTTATTTTTTTGACAGGCAGAGTGGACAGTGAGAGAGAGAGAGACAGAGAGAAAGGTCTTCTTTTGCCGTTGGTTCACCCTCCAGTGGCCGCCGCAGCTGGTGCACTGCGGCCCGCACACTGCGCTGATCCGATGGCAGGAGCCAGGTACTTATCCTGGTCTCCCATGGGGTGCAGGGCCCAAGCACTTGGGCCATCCTCCACTGCACTCCCTGGCCACAGCAGAGAGCTGGCCTGGAAGAGGGGCAACCGGGACAGAATCCAGCGGCCCCGGCGGTACTAGAAGCCGGTGTGCCTATTTAGCAAGGACAAGGGCTAGCCTAGTGAGCTGCTTAAAAGGCCTACAGGAGAATGGAAGAAAAAATTAGAGTCCAAAAACCGATCAGGAGTTGGGGAAAGTTGGCAAACTTTCCATGCTCTGAGATAGGACCCCCAAGGATTTTCTGGAGAGGCACAGCACTTGTCCATCGTGGAGTAGATGGAAGAAATCCAAATAAATCATTAGGAAATAAAACTTGGCCGATATTAAAAAGGCAAATAATCCCAGCCCAGCGGGTTTATATATATTTTTTTTAAAATTTAATTTTTTTTTTTGACAAGGAAAAGAGTACAGAAAGGGAGAAAGAAAGAGAAAATCCCCCCCACCTGGG